GAATGATAGAATGTTATGACTCTGCTTTCGGGAGACACAGCTTTCTAGAGGATCTCTTCTTGATAGAATTCCCATTGATTTTTACGCTTTTATCGATAAAAACCTGTGAAGGCTTGCCCGAAGCACTGATCCAGCCTCAAATCATCAAATTTCCAGGGAACAAAATTCTGCGGGTTTTTCCATTTATGGATGTTACTGAGAGCTGGCATAAAAGGTTAAAAGTGATTCGAGAGTTTTGAGGCACTTAAACGGTGAACTTTTATTTGTGAAACCACAGGGTCTAATAAGATCGCCGCATTTCAAAAAATCCCGCAACTTCTTGCATCTTTCCTTCCGATCTTGCTTTTTTAAACGGTGGGTTCTTTGGACGGCTCATAGAAAAACTTTAAGCCTTAAAAACGTTCAGTTCTCAGTTCAGCTGTTTGCTTGCCGCGCAATCGCGTTCCATCTTGAGCAGGTTTTTTTCAGAAATTGGGGAACAAATTCGTTCTTCTGCAAGCCAATAATTAGCGATAAACAAATAATTTGAGAAGAAAAAGCACACAAAAATTCCCCGTACAATGCATAAAAGGGAGTGAAATGTTACGCGCTTATGACATTTCGCTACCCTGTATATTTCCACATCTTCGAGCTTTGACCTTATCGTGAAATTCTCCTTTAATAATTATCTAATCCTCGCATTGCCGTCGGCTGCTAATATTCTTTTAAAGAATAAATAGCGCAGCCAATGTGAGTAATGCCCCTGCTTAAATCAATAAAGATAGCACTTGATCATTCTAAAATATGTGTCATCTTTGTCACCGCTACCCTCCAATCACAAAATTCTGCTTACCTTCTCTTTCAATGCGCCACGGTTGTTAGTATTACGGGTCACTGCCAGCTTGTTCCTGGCTGCAACCGTAACGGATCGCTGAGGATCGGATCGTTCGTTCGCCTGAACAAGATGAGAAATGTGAAAGAAGACAAAATGTACGCCATCCGCTACTATCAACATATCTCGATGAGACAACGTAATAAATGTATAAATCAAGAGCCAACTATAAACAGAGGATATAGCAAAAAAAAATGGATAAGTAAATAAAATAATAAGTAAATAAGTAACAAAGCCGAAAGACTGTTGGCGCAATTCACCTCTGTAAAGGATCAGAGTTACGCGACAAAACGCTAGCGAATCGCGCGATAAGCTCGAGATTTGCGTGACCAGCCAGCGCTACGAGAGATTTTGTTAAAATTCATTCAGTCAATGAGCGTATTGTAGGAGTCTGT